GACACGGGTTCGAGCCCTGGTCTGGGAGGATCCCACATGCCGCGGAGCAGCTGGGCCCGTGAGCCACAACTACTGAGCCTGCGCGTCTGGAGCCTGTGCTCCGCAACGAGAGGCCCGTGCACTGCGACAGAGTGGCCCCCAGTTGCCACAACTAGAGAAAGCCCTCGCACAGAAAACGAAGACCCAACACAGCAAAAATAAATAAATAAATTACTAAACTCCTACCCCCAACATCTTCTTAAAAAAAAAAAGAATTGGAAGAAATCTTATAACTACATCAGCCACCTACAAATTCAAGAACTTCCTCAAATATTATAAAAAAATAAAATAAAAGGTGGCCTCTGTGCCCGCGTCACATCATTTATGCACAAATGAAAAATGGTGATAACTCTTCGTAGATTTTGTGACAAAACCCCGTTCTGTGAAGTATAAAATTATTCATCACAGTTGATGGGGATATGCCAGCGCGAACACTGCCAAGAAAAAACAATCCTGTACGTTCACGTAGTTCCAAACACCCTGAAACAAGAGGCCCTTTTCCTTCCAACGCCAGAAATTCATGGTCAGTAGTCATGTTTTATTATAGGTGCAGAGATAGCAAGCCTCCACAAAGCATTTTATTAAAATGCTTTTAGATAAGGTGCAGTTGTTGGAAAGTAAGAAAGGGGTCAAGTTAAAGAAAGGACATTTGATATTTGCTAAGCGTTTTCTCTTTTGTTTCATTCGTTAAAAAAAAAAAAAAAAAAAAGTCAAGTATTCTGTGAACGTTTTCCCAAAGGCCCTGAGCAAACATGTGAACCTTAACAATTTGTGCATTGTGGCTGTCTCTAAACCCCGGTTTGGGAATCTGTGGCCTTCGTTGTTGTATTTTGAAGGATTGCATTTTAAGCTGCCAGATTACAGTCCTCGTGGTTAATTCTACAGTGGCTGAAATGTCTTTCCCAGTGTGACAGTGTCATCAACTGAACTTGTCACGATGCTGTCTACAGAGTCCGACAGGCTGAACAAAGTACGTTTGTAGAACATTTCCCCAGCGTTCAGAGGGACGCGATGTCTTTATGATCTTCTGGCACCTCCCTCCTCTTGAGCAGGTGCCGGTGGATCCCACCCCAGCATGGCCACAGGGCAGGTATGGGAGGGAAGCAGGACCGTGGGTGGCTGAGATGGAGGAAACTGCAGAACTGCGCCGAGTTCCTGCCCTCCACCGTTCTCCTTGTTACTGAGCGGATGTTTCCCCAGCACGGAACTGAGAAAAGGCAAGGGCCTGGGTGGGAGAGGTGTCAGGAGGCTGGCACAAGCTGCATCTTCCCCAGGACGATTAGGACTGAGATGGATCAGGGGTGGGACTCCTGGAGCTGGGGAGGGGAGCTGGGCTGGGCCTGGATGCGGCCAACAGCCACTCTGGGTCTCCCAGCACCTGCAGGGTGCATTGAATTTACCTGGTTCTCTCCACAAGGGATTGTAAGCAGACACGGCCTATGGCTTGTTGGGTTTCTAGCGCTCCCAACGCCCCCTGGTGCCCCCAAGCCCCTGGCGGTGTGCCCAACACATAATAAATACTTTTTTGAGAATCCGAACTGAAAGGGCATGGCGTGAGACACGGTGAATTCTTACCAAAGCCTGTTAATTCGTTAGTGCGCATTTTCAAAAATGAGTGCTTTCTTTTCAAAACTGAGTGTTCACAGAGAGTTTTAGAGTACAGACGTTTGGCTTCCAAACAGCGCATAGGCGAGGTGTTCTGCTTTCGAAGCACCCCAGTGACTTTTCAGATGGGAAAGGAGGGGAGGGATGAGTCAGGTCTCCACCGTGCCCACAGCAGAGGGGAAGCCTCTCCCCTTACCTGGTCAGGCCTCTAAGCGAGCTAGTGCCGTTTCAGAGCAGTCGCTGTGTGTCCAGCCCAGAACACCCACTGACGTGCTTAAAAGGTGATAGCACAGCCGTCTCCCCTTCCCTTTGTCCTGGCTGGCACTGTGTGTTGGAAAGTAGAAACCATGTGGCCAGCCTTTGTTTGGAAGCAGCTCTGATTTACACACCTTAAAACCTATTGTGATCTCCCATTTGCTGCATTCTCCCTAGTTGTGGGAAAAAAGGTCACAGTGTATTTACTGCACGTATTTAAGAGAACCTGTCTCCCTCGCCGACTTGTTTCTGATCCTCCCTGAGATCCTTGGTCAGGCGTCTGCCCTGGCCTCATGCCAGGGAGTGAGTGTCCCCAGGCGCTCGCTGCCCACGGAGCTCATGCTTCTCAGACCTGAGTCCCACCAAAGGAACCAGTGCCAGAAACCATCTGGTGGTGGGATGGTAGTCATAATGTATTCAGCAAAACCAAAAACAAGGTGTGATAACAACCTGAAATAAGAATAAACTCGAGAAGCGTAGTTTCAGTAAAGGGTGCTTTATATGCTATATTAGTAACTTTTATTTTTCAAGCTGAGCAGTGCATGCTTGATGTATATTTGATCATGAATCCTTGTAACAGTCCTTACGTGGTAAGTCCTGGGCTGGAAACACCTGGAAGCTGTCAGGGTGGTTGGATCCAGGTGGGATCCCAGTCACTCTCAAACCTGAGGCCACGCTCTTAAGCGTTGTGTATGGCGCAGGTCAGCTTCCCTGCTAAAAGGAAACCACAAGATGAGCCCGAGTATAGAAAACCATTGACAGAGTCACGGCAGGATGTCTGTCATGCTTCTTGGCCCTACAATTCCTACTGGGAAGTCGTGTGTGGGCTGCCCTGGGCAGGAAGGCACCCGGCCCCGTGGGGTGTATGTGTGGAAGGCTGTAGCTCTAAGAAAACCCGTGTCTTTCCAACTGAACAAGTCTGTGGTCCGAGGCTGCTCTATCACCCCTGGTACTTCGTCAGTGTTACTGTCCACACGATTGCAGTGATAATTTCTGCTTTCTGCTCTTGCAGACAGATTTATTCGTTCAGCAATCCGCTGGGCATGTAAAGTGTCAGGGACAATTTCGGACTCTGTAGATACCAAGAAAGTTGAGGCAGACAGTATGCTGAGGATGACATCAGACTCAGGGCAGGCATTGGCACTAGTGGAACGGAAGGAAGAGTTTAGTAATAGAGTCATTGTGTTTGAGACACAATCCACTGAGAAAGGATGGTCTTTTCTACAGGTGGTACAGAAATGGCCAGATGTCCGTGTGGGGAGGTCCCTCCCTCACGTCGTACACAAAGGTAACTGGAATGGGTCCGTGGCAAAACTAAAACTGGGAAGGGACACAAGGGAACTTTTGGTCGTGATGGAAACATTCTATATCTTGTTTATTGTGGTGGTTATGTGAGTGTATAAATCTGTCAAAGCCTATTAAAATGCATATGTAAAATGGGCACTCTTTAAATTTGTAAATTATGCCATAGTAAAGTTGATCTTAAGAAAGACAAATCATATCCTGTCCCTCCCCTGCTTAACATTTTTCAGTGAACGTCAGCTAAAATCCAGATTCCTTACTCTGTCCTCCGAAGCCCTAGGTGATCTGGGCCCGTCTCGTAGCGCCCCGTTTCCTTTGGTTGTAGGCTCTTCCTGGAATGCACTTCTCTGGGGTCTAGGCATGGTTGATTCCCAAAGAGCCCTCAGCTCCAGGGCCACCTCCTCAGTGAAGTTCTCCTGGATTGCCAGCTGTCACGGAGGGCCTGGCTGGGGCTGGCGACCATCCCCTTATTCTTGTGGTCACGTCACGGGTGTAGGATGCCCGCCCAGTCCTCCTCCGGCCTCCGGGGAGTAAGAGCTGGGACGGCAAGCGATGGGTGGATCGCGGCTGGGCGCTGGCAGAGGGATTGTGGCGGGAGAGTGAGAGCTGAGGGTGCAGGGGGCGCAGTCCGTGTGCCCGGGTGCAGGCGGCAGCATAAAGGAAGTGAGTCAGCGGGCTGGGAGGGAGGACCTGAGGAGAGTAGGACAGCCAGGAAGCCCAGTGAGGGGACTGAGAAGGTGGGGTGCAGGGAAAGACGGGTACTGAGAACGTAAGGATGACCTGGAACTCCAGAATTTAGAATCTGGAGAGGAGAAGGGTCCTGGGTGTGGCCATGTGATTAGTGGATGAAATGGAGAGTAGACGTGTAGCTGAGGGTTAGATCCTTGGGCGACGAAGTGCAGCCACCCGTCGTGTCACCCCCTGCATCCAGGGGGGCAGGTGAAGATGGAAAGGAAGGCATTCAGTGAGTGATGAGGGCGGGTGGTGCGGGTCGCCCGGAAGCTCCAGGAGCCGGGGCAATTGCCTGAAAGGGGAAGGGGGTGTCCTGGTGGGGGTGAGGGGGACACCGCACTGGTTCTGGGGGGCCCTTCCGATGTGGCAGAGCCCAGGTGCACACTGCAGGAGCTGGAATTCATTTCGGCCAGCAGAGAGAGGTTAGGAGGGCCCAGGTGCACCACCGGTATCCACGGCGGGGACAGGTGAGGGATGGGAGGAGGCCTCGAGGTGCGGGATGAAAGAAGCAGGGGTCAGCCTTTTGTTTGTTTGTTTTTTTCGGTACGCGGGCCTCTCACTGTTGTGGCCTCTCCCGTGGCAGAGCACAGGCTCCGGGGACACAGGCTCAGCGGCCATGGCTCACGGGCCCAGCCGCTCCACGGCACATGGGATCTTCCCAGACCGGGGCACGAACCTGTGTCCCCTGCATCGGCAGGCGGACTCTCAACCATTGCGCCACCAGGGAAGCCCAGGGTCAGCTTTTGAGCCCCAGGAAGTCGTGTGGTACAAAGTTAACATGTTCCTGTTAAGAGTCATATGTTTTGGTAGCAAAAATAACAGACGTGTATCATCACGATTTCCATGAATATTTGGAACATCTTCAGAACTTGTGTGCTATTTAAAAATTACACAGATGTGTACTTTAGCTGGGTTTCTAACATTTTATAAATAATCCTTTTAAAGTATGGGCGCTAACATTTACGTGGTTTTGTTTGTTGTTTTCTTTACAGAGGTTCTTAGTCCAGAGCCAGCTCCATGGACCCAGGCTGGGTTTGGCCCTTGGCCTGCTGTGAGAAGGGTGTTGTCTGCTAGAAGACTCCCCGGGCCCACCTGCTCTGTTGCCTTACAGAGCAAGCGAAAAAGATGGACGGAGTGACGCGCCCTCTGCCTGTGTGCCTGCTGCCTCCTGCGCCCTTGTTAATCCTAGTGTCCACTCTGGCGACTGCTAAGAGTGTGGCCAACAGCACTTTAAATGGCACTGACACGGTCGTGGGCTCAGTGCCCGTGGTCATTGCCAGAACCGACCATATCATCGTCAAGGAAGGGAACAGTGCCTTGATCAACTGTAGTGTTTATGGCCTCCCTGAGCCCCAGCTCAAGTGGTATAACTCCGTGGGCAAGCTGCTGCATGAGGACAGCAAGGACCAAGGGGCAGGTAGGCTGTCCAGTCGTGTCCCGTGTCAGAAACTACGGGGAGGGACTTGGGGGCCGGCACCCTGAGTGTCCGTTGTTCTTATGCAGATCATTTCAACATCTCCTTTTGTCTTATTTTTCTAAGGCAAGAGAGAGAGATCCAAGAAGTAGATATCCTTAAGGATTCAAAGCAGTAATGAATTCATTCTTTCACTCTTGACTCAGAAGACAAAACGCAAACAGCTTCTCCCCTCTAATGAAAGTATTACAGTAACGAAAATATTGTATGTATGTTTGAGTCTTTTAAAAGGCCTCTTGGAAAGTTGCAGTATAATGCGTACAGAATGTTGTAGGGATGGATGTAAAGTGGATTTTCCTTAAGTATATGTTCTGTTTATATGGGAGTTTTAATTTGTTTCAAGGAACATAGCAGTTGTCTATGATTAAAGGTCAGTTTAATTCGTCGACTGTGGGTTTAAAGGTCACATCTTTTGAGAGCAGCCTCTGTGCAGCTTCTCACCAGCAGCCAGAGATCATGTGTGCTCTCGGGGACCTGGCTGAAGTTTCTAGACTGTTGGCCAGGGGGGAGAAATAATCCGTGGCATAGGGAGAGTGCTTGGCTTCTCATGAATGAGTTTCTGGCCAGAAGGTGCAAATCCCCTTCCCACGTACCAGCTCACTTCAGGAAGGACTGTGGCCAGAGGGGGCACCGTGGGTCCTCAGGAGTCTACATGCTTCCTATCTCAGGTGTGAGAACCAAGCCTGATTGATTGACCTGAAGGCCCAGGATGTACTTTCTGAGCATCTCCAGTGATGACCTGGCAGGTGGGGGTGAGGGTGAAAGGACCCGGATCTGACTTAGCAGCTGCTCCGTTTCTGCCGCCCTTTCCCTCGTGTATCTCCCAGCCCACAGCCCTCTAACCCCCAGAAGAGTCTCTGCCCCAGGAAGGCCTGCATTGCTAATCTCTTTTCCTCATTTTATCTTAATCCCTCTGAAAAAGAGCAGAGGCTGGGACTTCCCTGGCAGTCCAGCGGTTAAGACTTCGCCTTCCAGTGCAGGGGGTGTGGGTTCGACCCCTGGTCGGGGAGCTAAGATCCCACATCCTGTGCGGCCAAAAAGTAAAAACACAGAGCAGAAGCAACATTGTAACAAATGCAATAAAGACTTTAAAAATGGTCCACATCAAAAAAATCTTAAAAAAAAAAAAAAAAAAGCCCAGAGGCTAATACTGTGTCTCCTTAGGGGCCGGGTGATGGGGGGTCTGACGAGTTCCGGCTTCGGCTCCCAGTCATGCCCCGACATTCACTGCCTGTGCTGCTCCTTACACGGCCGTTCAAGGCCAGGCAGCGTCATGCAGCTTCTCCCCTCTAGTGCAAGTATCATGGTCACGAAAGTACCATGTGTACATTTGCATGCTTCACCTGGTAGAGGGGAACTCCCTCCCCACCAAGTAAAACGATGGGACCGCAGAACTTTGCCATTAGCAGGGACCCTGGAGACAGTGCAGCCCCAACCCCTCTTTTACGTGACTTTCCCCCGGCCCTGTGGTCATTAAGTGGCTGTGACCGGACCGTCCGTGCTGACAGTGGGCAGATGGGACGGCGCAGCCCCTTCCTCCTACTGCAGGTCAGGAGGAAGTGATGTCACACCTTCCTACTGCAGGTCAGGAGGAAGTGACGTCACACCTGCGCAGGAACAGTGACCATGGCAACGTGTGCGCACGCAGGTCCCTGGAGCCCGTGGGGTCTTTCTGCTGGGCTGGGCCTCGGGGAGGATTCTCGGGGGACCAGGCACTCCAGACCGAGCCTGCGGCTCCCGTGGGCCTAGAGCAGAGGTGGTCCCGGGTATAAAGAGGCATGGTGGGGCTCTGAGCCCTGTATCCGGGAGAGGAGGGAAGCGTGGGAACAGAGTGGGGCTGGGGCCTGGACCTCAACCGTGGCTTTGTGAGGGCTGCCTTGGAGTCGTAGTGGCCCCGCCAGGGAGATTGCGCGAAGTCTTGATGGTAGGAATCCAGTCTTGGCAAGTGGCCCCCGTATGTCGTTTCTCTCATGGGGAGCTTGGCGGAGCCGGGGTCCCCTGGGCTCACTTCTCTTCTGTCCATGGGCGCCGGAAGAGGAAGGGGCAGACACCAGTGCCTCGGAGACAGAGCCTGGGCGCAAGGCGGGGCATCAAAAGCCTCTGGGCGTGCTTGTGGCCGGTGGCCGTGCTGAGAAATCAGTTGGCTGTTCTCAGACCTCGTAAGGAAGACACACTGTGGAGATTTTAAAAGAACTCGTGATCCTGGCACTTGATGTTCCAGCTCAGCTTTGGTAGTTACTGTGCATAGTAACAGGCATTTCAGGACACAAGTAACAGGGGGCAATATTCAGAACAACCAGGCAAGACAGAGGAAACGGCAGAACATTTATCCTTATCATAAAATACGTGCATGGTGGTGCCACTCGAGGACCCATGGTCTCTAAGTCTCCATTTCTGACAGAAAGATGCCCACGCGCTAACCAGGATGTAGATTTCAGTTTCTGGGCTGATTGGCTAGGAGTTTAAATGCAGCAGTGTTAATAACTCAACAAGGAGGTGATTGATACAGCATGGAAAATGGTGCTCCTACGTAGGAATGTTACCTGTGTACACAGTAGACCACTGCTGAAACCAAACAAAATGAGTGTAATTCCCATTAGCAACCGCTCCCGTTGACTAAGCCCTTGTACCACCTTGCACACCTTGTTTCTGGTCCTTCCAGTGAGTGTGAGGGTTTGCTGGCCTTGGTGCTCACACATCCAGATGAGAAGTGGGTGCGTGGTGCCCACTGTGCCCACCAGCACCTGCTCGTCCTCCAGGTCTTGGCAGGCGAGGGGTGGTGAAAGCCCAGACGGAGTGGATGAGAGGCTGGATGGTCGCTGCACCAGCCCCGTCACTGTTACAAAGAAGCAGGGTTAGGACCCCACCATGACCTGCGTACGAGGTGTGCACACACCCAGGTGTGTTCAGAGCCATCTGGCGAGTTGCCCACCACGTGTGCTTTGTGATTTCAAGAGGAGTTCCGTTTCTTGTTGGTGCTGAGAAAGTGAGATGGCTGTTCCTGGCGCCAGCCCCGCGGGTCCTAGAAGGAACGGGCTATTTCCTGTCCCTGGCAGGAGCAGCAGCTGCTTTGCTTTGTGTCCCTCGTGTTGTCACTTCATTCCCACAGATGAGGAGAGGCTAATGTGTGAGCTATTTCTGGAGGAAGACTTTTTTTGGAGTTCACGGAAGGACACGTTTGGGGTGGTCCACCAGCCATGTTACAGAAATAACCCACAAGTCCAATAACATGAGGAACCACAAATGGCCACAAAATGTCCTGTTTTCAATTTTCCTTTTGCTAGAGGTAAGTAGGAATATATAGGTGCCAGAAAGTGGTTCCCTTTTATTTCAGGTACCAGTTATCCAGTGTATTTTTGCTGTAGCTTCATACTCTGACTTTAAACCATTGAAGTGCACATTGGCACCTTTATCAGATGATAAATAAGAAGCATTTCAAGAAAGTCAGCTTTACAGAAATAGAGACACAGATGTAGAGGACAAACTTATAGTTACCAAGGGGGGAGGGGAGGGTGGGGCGAATTGGGTGATTGGAATGGACATATACACACTACGATGTATAAAATAGGTTACTAATGAGAACCTGCTGTTTAGCACAGGGAACTCTACTCAGTGCTCCATGGTGACCTAAAGGGGAAGGAAATCTAAAAAAGGGGATGTATGTATACATATAGCTGATTCACTTTCCTGTACAGCAGAAACTAACACAACGTTGTAAAGCAGCTATACTCCAATAAAAATTTTTTAAAAAATTAAAAAGTCAGCTTTGGAAAAGGCATAGGCCTTTGTAAACATGCCTGGTTCGTTAGCGATTAACTTGGAAATTCTTCCTTCAAGTGAGGTTTTAGACTTTCCTGTGGATTTGTTTTCCATTCCCCTGTAGCATTCTGCCACCAAAAATAACTAAGAATTATCTCTGAAAATAAACATGCACAGCATAAGTAAGCTGAGCTGAATTGTACAAAGTTCACAGTTGTCTCACAGCTACTCGACCTTTGTGGAATTTATTGTTATAAATTTTGCTTTAGTTTACACGGCTCTAGTGTTTTTATCCTCTGCTTTGCAAATGTTTTTAGTAGCCCGTGAGATGCTTTCAACTCCTTCTGTCAGGGAGCCTCAACAAACTTGCCAGCCACGTCTTGAGACTTGAGTGTATCACCCCCTGCAACATATCCAGGAGGGGGTCAGTGCCCACAGCACTAAGTTTACAGCATCCTTTGCCTCTCAGATGAAGCGTGGAGTAGTGCATTAACCTATGGAAGTGTTATACCTAATTTCTCTTAAATATGTTCAATATTTGAGATTTAAAAAAAACCCTCAAAAGGCATTAGACAAAATTTATGTAACTATAAATATACTACTGCAAATTCAGCAGAACAGCACAATGGCATCTCTTTGAGCAAAAGTTCCTCAACTTTTCGGAGCCAGTTTTCCTATCTGTAAAGCAGAGATAATCCTCTTTTACTGCCAGGCAGGGCTGTGCAATTTGTGTCGTGTATGAAATGTCAGTCCAGTACGTGGAACACACCAAGCCATCAGTAAACGTTAGCTGCCACCATCATTGGTCACATCACCAATGTCCTGTGTTGTCACAGTCAAGATCCCAAGTGCGTCTGTCTCTGCTTCGTAGTACGGTGTGTTTTGTAAAGAAAGGAAATAGTTTTCTGGGCAATTTCTTATTCGCTCTCTCAAGTTCTCAACCTTTTAAAAAAACATTCAGTAAAGACCAAAAACATTTATATCCCTTAAGCGTTATTTAGAAGCTCGAGTTAATGCTGCGACGGATGTGATGGTGAGAGTGCCGCTCCCTGCTCCACCAGCAACATCCCCCACCCCCCGACACATCCCCTCTGCATGCAAGGGGCCCGCTGCCCTCCAATGCGCCCAAGCCTCAGAGCAGTGAGTGTGGATGTTACGGAGTATATTATGCACAGGATGAACTT